GGATGTCAGATTCCCTGGAACTGGAGTTATAGATGGTTGTTAGCTACCATATGAGTTCTGGGAATCAAAGCTGAGTCCCCTGCAAGAGCAGTCAGCGCTCTTAACCACTGAGTCATCTCCCCAGGCCCATGTTGTTTAATTTTTTTTTTTTTTGGGTCTTTTTGAGACAGGGTCTCCCTGTAGCCCCAGCTGTCCTGGAACTCACTATGTAGACCAGGCCTGTCCTGAATTCAGAGATCCACTGCCTCTGCCTTCCGAGTGTCATTTTTTAAATTTTAATTTAATTTTTTTATGTGTATGAGTGTATTGCCTGCATGTATGTAAGTGCACCATGTTGTGCAATGCTGGCAGAGGTCAGAAGATCCCCTGGAACTGGAGTTATAGAAGGTTTTTAGCCACTATGTGGGTGCTGGGAACCAAACCCAGGTCCTTTGCAAAAGCAACCAGTGCTCTTAACCTCTAAGTCATCTCTCCAGCCCCCTGTTGTTTCTTTTTTTTGAGATATGATCTTGCTACGTAAATCCAAGCTGTCTTGGAACTCACAGCAATCCTCCTGTCTTAGTTCCCTGATTGTTAGGATTACAGGAGTAACCACCACATTCAGTACTCTATTGCTCTGGGGTGAATGGAAGCTACTTTTAGTCATGGTGAGGTTGAGGGGCTTCAGTAAAGGAAGATAGGCAGCTGGGGGCTACACACAAAACTGAAGCTTACTGGAAGAGTTTCAGGCTAGAAATAATAATCTGGGACTTGTGCATATGTAGGTGGTAACTAAAGCCTTGAAATTATTGAGACCACTTAAGAGGAAAAAAACCAGAAGGATTGAATTCTGAGGCATGCTGACATTTGGAAGTTAGGAAATGTGCTTAAGCAGTCTTCTATTACTGTAACATATTACTCTGATAATGAACTTAAGAAAAGGTTTATTGTGGCTCACATTTTGTGTTTCAGTCCATGGTCTGTTGAGTCTGTTGCTTTCAGGCCTGTGGCAAGGCTGCACATCCAGGCGAGTGGTACATTATAAAGCTGTTCGCTTTGTGGCCAGCACACAAAAAGAGAAAGAGAGGAAGAGGCCAGGGCCCCATAGTGCCTTTAAAGCAGTACTTGTTTTTGTTTTTTGTTTTTTTGGTCTTTTTGAGACAGGGTCTCCCTATAGCCCCGGCTGTCCTGGAATTCACTATGTAGACCAGGCTGGCCTTGAACTCACAGAAATCTGCCTGCCTCTGCCTCCCAAGGGCTGGGATTAAAGGTGTGTGCCACCATGCCTGGACCTTTTTTTTTTTGAGGGTTTCTGATAATGCTGTTTTCTTAATGACCTAAAACCTCTTGCTGGGCCTCACCTCTTAAAGGTTTTTCACCCATTTCCTAACAGCACTAAACCAGTGACAAAATCTTCACTACGAGACCTTCTGGGGGGGGCGGGTAGTCCTGATCTGAATTAAGTAGGAGGTAAGAAAAAAGTAGTGGAGATTAAGGAGGTGCGACCAATATGGAGGAGGAAGGTGGAAAGAGAGACTGGAATAATTTCTCAAGGAGAGCTTCAAAGGAAATGTGCGGGCAGGTCAGGAAGATGGCACTGAACAAGCTCTGGATGAAGCAATGGGAATAATAGTGAGTTTGAAAGGAAAGCTAGTGAGTGACTGGGAGGAGAGGTGGTGGAGACAGAGTGGAAAAAACACTCTGAAGGAGTGTGGTAGTAAAGAGAGGATAAGGGACGCTGGGCATGGGTGGCGCACACCTTTAATCCCAGCACTTGGGAAGCAGAAGCAGGTGGATCTTTGTGAGTTCGAGGCCAGCATGGTCTACATAGTGAGTTCCAGGTAGGCTGGGGCTACAGGGAGACCCTGACTCAAAAAGACCAAAAAAAAAAAGTTATTCTTTGATGGTAGTACCTAGAGGAGATGTAAGGATAGGGAAAGAGCTGCTTCTTAAAATTTGGTTAAAATTTTTTTTTGATTTATTCATTTATTTTATTTTATGTGTGTGAATATTTTGCCTGCATGTATGAATCTACACCTGGGTTGTGTTAACACCCCTGGAAATCAGAAGAGGGCACTGGATCCCCTGGAACTGGAGTTCCAGATGGCTATTAGTCACTATGTGGGTGCTGGGTACTGAACCCAGGTTCTGTGGAAGAGCAGCCAGTGCTCTTAATTGCTGAGCCTTCTTTCCAGCCCCTATTTGGTCTTTTTGAGACAGGGTCTTGTTATGTAGCCTAGGCTAGTTTTGAACTCACAAAGCCTCCAAGGACAGCTGTGTACCAGCTTGCTGATTTGTTTTTCTTCTTTTATTTAAATTATGTACATAGGAGTGTTGTGTGTGTGGTTATGTGTACATGTGAGGACAGGTGCCTATGAAGTCTGGAAAAGGATATTAAATTCCCTGAACTGGAGCTCTAGGTGATTGTGAGCCTCCTAACATGGGTGCTGGGAACCAGTCCTCTACAAGGACCTTAATCCCTACTTTTTTTAATTTTTTTTTTTTTTGTTTGTTTGTTTTGAGACAGGGTCTCCCTGTAGCCCCAGCTGTCCTGGAACTCACTGCGTAGACCAGGATGGCCTTGACCTCACAGAGATCTGCCTGCCTCAGCCTCCCAAGTGCTGGGATTAAAGGTGTGTGCCACCATGCCCGGCTCTTTTTTTAATAAAAAAAAAATATTTTTATTTTATGTGTATTAGTGTATTGCCTGCATGTGTGTAAGTGCTCCTGTGTCATGCAATGCCTGTGGAGGTCAGAAGAGGGGTGTCAGATCCTCTGGAACTGGAGTGCGCTACCATGCCCGGCCCTTAATATTTATTTTTTTTTAAAATATGTGTGTAGTGGAGTGTGTGTGTGTGAATGCAGATTCCTGTAGAGACCAGAGGTGTTGGATACCCTGGAGCTGGAGTTATAGGCAGTTGTGAGTTGCCTACATGGGTGCTGGGAACTAAACTCTGTAAGAACAGTACTCACTTTTTGTTGCTTTTTGTTTGTTTGTTTTTAAGACAGGGTCTCACTATGCAGTCCTGGCTGACCTAGAACTTGACTAGGTTGGCATTGAACTTACAGAGATCTGCCTGCCTCTGCCTCCTAAGTACTGGATTAAAGGTGTGTGCCATCATGCCCAGCTCCATAATATTAGCTCTTAACTGCTGAGCCATCTCACCAGTCTTTATTTTGTTTTTTGGTCTTTTTGAGACAGGGTCTCTCTGTAGCCCCAGCTGTCCTGGAACTCACTACATAGACCAGGCTGGCCTTGAACTCACGGAGATCCACCTGCCTTTGCCTCCTGAGTGCTGGGATTAAAGGTGTGCGCTACCATGCTCGGCTGTTTGTGTTTTGAGACATGGTCTCATTATGTAGCCTTGGGTGGCCTGGAACTCCCTACGTAGACCACCTAAGCTATCCTTCAACTTAAAGAGATCAGCCTGCCTCTGCCTCCAGACTGTCGTTTTTCAGAGAGAGAGAGAGAGAGAGAGAGAGAGAGAGAGAGAGAACAGAATATGCATACAGGGATTAAAGCTGTATTTGAGATGCAAGGCAGTTTCTATCGGAAACAAAGCTGTAGATATGGCTGACATAATTGCAATTTATTCCCTACGACCATAACTGAAGTAATAAAAACTTTCAGTTAGGGGCTAGAGAAAATAACATGCATTTAAAAAAAAACTACCCGGGTTCATAAGACTCCTTGGTTTTAGGGTTTAATCACGAGCATGTGTGGGTAGGGTAGAGGAAACAGCAAGATGGTTGGAAGGAGGGGAGAACTGAGAGGCAGGTGCCCTGAAGAAATCCTGTAAACAGAGTAAGCTCTCTAAAAATCTGTAGAGTCCCCATAGAGAAGGGAGCCCATTTCAGCCTCTACCTAATGAAGGTCAACTGAGCCCTTGAATCCCCAGTACTTCTACTTAGCTGCTTCTACTTCTGGGCAGATATAGGAAACGTCTAATTCTGAATTAAATTCTATCACTTTAATACTTCCCTAACAGCTCTTAGCCCAGTCCTCTAGAAGTATTCTTTTTGTTTGTTTGGAGACTATAGCACTATAGCACTGGCTGGTCTGTAATTCAATATATAGACCAGGCTGGCCTGAAATTCAGAGATCCGCCTGCCTCTGCCTCCCAGAGTACTGGTATTAAAGACAAATACTACTACGCCTGGCTAGAACTATGCTTGTTGAAGTTAATTTCTTGGACTTGATGAGTCTTATTTCTCTGACTGCAGGTGGTTCTAGAAGCAACTGAAGACAGTTTCAAGTGTTCTCTTTTCCTTTTTTTTTTTTTTTTTTTTTTTTTTTTTTTTTATTTGCCCCTTTGTATCCAAGCTTTAGTTGCTTTCTCTTTCAGGTAATGATCAAAAAGGGACTGCAGTAGGGAATCTTTCAAATTTCACATTGGGATAGGTTGGTCAATGAGGAGACAATACAGGCAGTAAGAGGTTGAAGAGGATGAAGACCAAGGAATTATTCCAAATCTCATGTTGAACGATTGCCCTAGTATGGCAGTGTCCTTGGACCAAAGTCACTATTTACTCCTCGGTATTTTGAATGAGTTCAATAAATCCTTAATTGACTTCCCCTGGAACTGGAGTTAAGGACAGATCGTAGCTGCCATGTGGGTGCTAGGAATTGAACCCGGTCCTCTGCAAGAGCAGTCAGTGCCCTTAATGGCTGGGCCCATGTGTTCTCTTTTCTAAGGAGAACATTGTCAGGCCTTGCAAGCGTTCCTTATCCACCATGATTTCCAGGACCTTCACTAACTTGGTTGCTCTCTTGTGGACACATTTGACCTTTGACTCACTGGTGGTGACAGAGACAGGGCAAGACCTTCTGACTTCCTTTTTGCTATTCATATCATCATGGCAATCAATGAACGACTTGTCAAAGTGGGTATGGGCACCAACGCCCTATATAGAGATGGCTCTTTTAGTCTGAGCCTTCTGCTGGCCCTGTTTGTTCAGAAATGAGGGCAATGGGATAACTGATGAGAGGGCATCACATTGGACTGTGAATCAGTACTTACAAGAATATCAGTATTTTCAAAGTAACTCCTCCAGTAAGGTCTGATTTTCCTCTGTCCACCAATGTCCCATACATTCAATTTAAAACCTTGTGACTGTACACTCTTGATGTTAAAACCCTGAAACACACAGAGGGAGAGGAAAAAACCCAATTAATTCTTACAAAATTATATTTAATAGTTTTATGTGTGTGTGCTGGGGATTGAACCTTGGGGCTCATGAAGGCAAAATACATGCTGTACCACTGAGCTGTACTCCCAGATCTTTATAGCTACTTTTAATTTTTATTTACTTTTTTTGTTTTTTGAGACAGGATCTCCCTGTAGTAGTAGCTGGCCTGGAACTTGCTATGTAGACCAGCCTGGCCTCACATTTTAAGGAGATCCAGAGATCAGCTTGCCTCTGCCTCTCAAGAGCTGGGATTAAAGGCATGTGCTATCACACTTGGCATACTTTTCAAGTGAATTCTGCAGTACCGGCCAGATGTGGTACTTTTTTCCTTTGGTGTGATACTGTCAGTACCATAAATGGCTTACTGTGATAGGGAAGAAAACATACTTACAAATGTTTATTTCACTTAGGTTGTAGAATCAGTGTTAATAACATCCAGGCTGCAATAGCAGTGGTGCAAAACCTTAATTCCAGTGCTCAGGAGGCAGAGGCAGGTGGATCTCTGTTAGATCCAGGCCAGCCTGGTTTATATAGCAAGTTCCAGGCCAGCTGGAGCTTACAGGGAGATCTTGACTCTAACAAACACACACACAAAATAACACCAGAAGTCTGGCGTGGTGGCACACGCCTTTAGTCCCAGCACTTGGGAGGCAGACGTAGGCAGATCTCTGTGAATTCGAGGCCAGACTGGTCTACATAGTGAATCCAGGACAGCTGTGGCTACAGGGAGACCCTGTTTCAAAAAGACAAAAAAAAAAAAAAAAAAAAGTCAGGGCTAACATGAGGCTCCCTGTCCTCCCTACCCCCTTTTCAGTCATGGTCTCTCATGTAGCCCAAGCTGGCCTAGAACTTGCTATGTAGCAAAGGATGGTCTTGAACTCCTTATTCTCCTGCTTCCCTTTCCAAGTGCAGGGATTATAGGAGTGTGCTAGCATGCCTGGCCCACATGTTATTCCACAATGAAAATGAATATACTAGGGCTGGGGATGTATTAGTTCAGTGGTAGAGACTGCCTAGCATGCATGAGGTCCTGGGTTCCTTCTCTTGGAAGGTAAGGAAAAAAATATACATCTATATGTATACATGTATATTGCTAAGAACAATTTGATATAAGATATATATCTATGATCAACACATCACACACTCCCTGATGAGTCCTCAGGAGGGTAAATTTAACAGGACAGTACATGTAACTGACAAAACCAGAAGCTGAATATGAAGACAACAGAAAATAACAAATGCTAGGTTTAAAAAGATGGGTGCTACAATCTGGAGGTTCAAAATAAATGTCCTTGTATGTTAAACAGGAAGAAGAGGGAATTGGACTGAGGATACTGTGGAGAGGACAGGCTTGTGGCTGGAGTGTCAGTTCAGCGAGGAGGTGGGGCCTGCTGGAACAGCATGTTCCGTCTCGGAAATGGAGCCCTCAATTATAGGCAGTGATGGAAACCAACAAGCGGTCATTTGAAGCTGTGCTTTGATAGGTACCTCAGATCAACTTGAGAGGAAAAGTCTTTGCCAGACGTGGTGGTGCATGCCTTTAATCCCAGTGCTTGGGAAGCTGAGGCAGTAGGATTAGCTGCAAAGTCAAGGACAGGGTCATAGGCTACATAGAGTTCCAGGGGTATAGACTGAGATCCTATCTTCAAGAAAAAAAAAAAAAAAAAGAAAAAGAAGGAAGGAAGGAGATATTTGTTTTTAGGACAAATTACTCAAAATAAAACCTGAGGAAAACGAGAGCAAATCAGAGGAAAGGCCAACTGGGAACCAGGGCAGAGAGAAACAAACAAGACCTTAGGGGTTCAGAAACAAAGCACTTCATTAAGCAAAGGGGAGGGGCAGATCTTGCAAGAAAGATAAAGGGAAAGCAGGATTTCAAATTTGAATCAAGGGCTTGCTACAACAGAAGTGACATTTTGTCCACAATAAGTGGATTTATGTGGGTCTGGGGATACCTCCAAAAACATCAGCCTTACCTGGCAGTATGTCAACACTGCTGCCTAGCACCCAAGGCCAAGTACACGGTACAGGAACACTGGCACTCAGTTTCCACTGAGGAACAGTCACTAGAGGATAAGGGGATGATCCTGACTAGCATACTTCTAGAATGCCAGTGACTGAAGAAATTAGTTTAAGAACTCTAACGGGAAATGGCTTAAACTTACTGAGAAAGGTACTTCCCTCTCAATTACTGACACAGGAACTTGGGTGTATTTCAACAATTCTTTGTTTGTTTTTGAGACAAGGTTCATGTAGCCCAGGCTGGCCTTGAAGTCACTGTTTGGGGGTATCCTGTGATGCATGAGACCTTGTCTAAACAAAAACAAAGAAATTCATAGATGTTCATGATTCATTCTAAGTGGAACCTCGACATGCTACAGGGAAAAAAAAAAAAAAAAAAAAAAAAAAAGTCCTCTATAGCACATCAAACAAAGCCTGAAGGTTAGCACTGGATCTCTGAATTTCTAATTTTGACCTCACTTCTGTCTGCACTGTGGAAGTCTTCATTTTAGCGCTCTGGAGAAATCTAGTCTATTGCTAATACTAAAAATCCTAGCCCTTCTTTTTCTGGCAGAAATCCTGACACACTAATACGTGTTTTCAGTCCTAGTAGGCTAGACTGCTGTAATTTGTTCCTCCTTGGGCTATACATTAAATTTGTTCAGAAGCTGTAAAATTGCTCATTTGGTAGCAGCTGAAATGACTTTTCTGCAAAGAGTCTCGAATCGTTAAGGCTCATGGGCCATGAAATACACAGACCAGCACAGCCATGCAAACCTGATGCCAGGGTCTTATCACAGTATAAAGACAGAAAATGCTAAATAAGACTAATTTGCTAAAACCTCCAATGCCCAAACATTTTAAAACTAAGACTAACAGGCTGCCTCGGCTGACTTGGCCCAAAGTCAAGTTCTCTTACGTTTTTTGACAGGCCTACAGAAATCTGCTGGAGTTCTCCAGTTAGGACTTGTCTCTACCTCCCCCAACCCTCAATGCTGTGGGCACCACAATGACTTATTCTTTGGGCTTTGCTTGCTTTCCCTTAGTAGAGAGGAAGGCAGATATGGTTGGATTTGAAATAAATAAACAAAAAAGCAAGTCAGGGCCAGGTAATTGTTGTTTTTATTTTTAAAAAAATGATATATAGCTGGACATGGGAATGCAGGTCTATAATCCCAGCACTAGGGAAGTTGAGGCAGGAGGATCTTGAGTTGGAGCTTAGCACTGGCTATACTGTGAGTTCAGGGCCAGCCTAGGCACATAGTGAGGCCCTGTCTCAAAGAATAAGCAAACAAAAAATTGATACATATATTTGTATATATTACTTGAAAAATATATGAAAAAATTACTCTGTACTTTTTTCTTTCAGCTTTCTTTTATTTACTTATAACTAGAGAAGATAACTTCTTTGTTACTTTTGGTGCTGGTGTTGGGTTTTTGGTATGCTAGGCAAGTGCTCTACCACTTAGCTATACATGCCCAGCCCTGATAGAGACTTTGTTTGCTAATTTTTTTTTTTTTTTTGGTCTTTTTGAGACAAGGTCTTCCTGTAGCCCCACCTGGCCTGGAACTCACTATGTAGACCAGGCTGTCCTTGAACTCATAGAGATCCACCTGCCTCCCAAGTGCCTGGACTAAAGGCATGTACCACCATGCCTGGCTTAATTTAAATTTTTATTTTGTCTTTCTAAGACAGGGTCTCCCTGTAGTCCCATCTGACCTGAACTCACTATGTAGACCAGGCTGGCCTTGAACTCACAAGGATCCACCTACCTCTGCCTCCCGAATGCTGGGATTAAAGACGTGCGCCACCATGCCAGGCTTGCTTATTTAATTTTTAAAAAATGTTTTACAATTTTTATTTTATGTGTATGAGGCCTGTACGTAGGTAGGACTTGTGTTGTACAGTGTCTGCAGAGGTCAGAAGAAGGTGTCAGATCTCTTGGAACTGGAGTTATGGAGAGTTATTAGCTGCCACGAAGCTGCTGGGAATTGAACCCAGGTCATCTCAAGAGCAGCTTTCTGTTTCTATGAATTGGACAATTCTAAATACTTCATATATATGGAATCCCCTTTACTTTATTTTATTTTTTTGAGATAGGGTCTTGCTGTAGTCTCAGCCAGCCTGGAACTTGCTATGTAGACCAGGCTGTCCTTGAACTCACAGAGATCCTCCTGTCTCTGCCTCCTGAGTGCTGGGATTAAAGGTGTGCCACCATATCCAGCTGGAATTACTTATATATGTATTTGAAATCTGATTTTTTTTTTAGATAATACAGACTTTTCTCAGAAACAAAACTTGGTTGTGTTACATCTTCCACAGCTATTGTAATGGTTAGTTTTGTCAACTTGACATATTCTAGAACCACTTGGGAAGACAGTCTCAGTGAGGGACTGTAATGGATCAGGCTGGCCTGGGGGCATGTCTGTGGGGGATTGTTTTGATGATATTAATTGAGGTGGAAAGGTCTTCCCATTGCGGGCAGCACCATTTCCTGGGTGGCCTGGACTGTGTAAATGAAGAGAGGGTGTGGAGCACAAGAAGGCATACATTCATTCTCTCTGCTTTCCCTGGATGTGACTGGCTGCTTCAAGTTCTTGCCTTGACTTACCCCAAATGATGGACTGTAACCTGGACTTGTGAGCTAAAATAAACTCTTTCTCCCTTAAATTTCTTTTTAGAAAATTTATTTATTTTTGTATTATGTATATGAGTGTTTTACCTGCATGTATGTAAGTGCACCCATGCTGTACAGTGCTTGTGGAGGCCACAAGAAGCTGTCCTGGACAGTTGTTAGCTGCCATGTAGGTGCTGGAAACTGAACCGGGGTCCTCTGCAAGAGCAACCAGTGCTTTTCACTGCTGAGCCACCTTTTTAGCTCCCCACCGGCCCCCCCGCTATTTGCTTTTTGTTAGGGGATTTTATCACAGCAACAGAAATGAAACTAGGACAGCTACTTTCATCTTCTTGGGTGACACAGCACCTGGAGCCAAGGGGGTGCTCACCTGTGTGGGTGTGATGTGGCTGATGTCTTCAGATGCAAGCTGCTTCAGCAGAGTAGTCTTGCCAGCATTATCCAAGCCCAGGAGAAGGATTCGCACCTCCTGGTCTGGAGCACTTTTCAATTTTCGCAAAATGGAGAGCAAGCCCTTGAAGAACCATGAAAGACAGATTACTTGAGGGGCAGTGACTTTGGTGTTACTGGACTTTGGTGTTACTGGAGAATGAATTCTCCTTGAAAAAAGTTCTGGGTTATGGACAGCTTATTACTTTCCACTCTAATGCCATTTGTTCCACTTGCTTCCTCCTTCCAAGTCTTTTAGCAAGAGGTACTACGGTGAATTCAGCAACCGGGTAAGTAGCACGGCTTATTCTTGCTCTTCCTGTTAATCTGGCTCAGCTGTCATCCCAGATCTTCTGGAAGTAAGAAATACTACCCCACCTGTGTTCCCAAAGCCCTTCACGTACACTTGAAGAATGTACACGAGAACACTGTTCATATCAGACTAGGAAATTGGTTTTATTTCTCCTTTACTGGAGCAATGCTTCTTGTGACTATATTAGATAGGCACTAGAATTACATCACTCACATTAATCCAAGGTTTTAAGGTGTTATATGAAAAGACACAAACAGGCTATATATGTAAAATTGTAGTTGGGCTTTAGTCTAAGGCTCTATTTCAATTTATGTTTAAAACTTCATTTGAGCCGGGCGTGGTGGCGCATGCCTTTAATCCCAGCACATAGAAGGCAGAGGCAGGCAGATCTCTGCGGTTCAAGGTCAGCCTGGTCTACATAGTGAGTTCCAGGACATCCAGGGAGACCCTGTCTCAAAAAGACCAAAAAGACCAAAAAAAAAAAAAAAAAAAAAAAAAAAAAAAAAAATCTAAGAACAGGGCTAGAAAGAGGACCCAGGTTTGGCTCCCAGCACCAACATGGCAGGTAACAACTTAACAACTGTCTGTAACTCCAGTTCCAGGGGATCTTGTGCCCTCTTCTGGCCTCCTTTAGCACTGCATGCACATGGTGCACTAACATGCAGGCAAAACATTCACACACATAAAATAAAGAATAAATATTTTTTTTAGCCAGATGTGGTGGCACATGCCTTTAATCTCAGCACTCGGGAGGCAGAGGCAGGCGGATTTCTGTGAGTTCAAGGCCAGCCTGGTCTACATAGTGAGTTCCAGGGCAGCTGGAGCTACAGGGAGACCCTGCTTCAAAAAAAAAGGCCAAGAACAGGGAAATCATATTACTTATGCTGAGTCCCTGAATGGGCATGAGAAGGGTCTCATTAGCTCTTAAAACATATTCTAGGGGCTGGAGAGATGACTCAGCAGTTAAGAGCACTGACTGCTCTTGCAGAGGACCCAGGTTTGATTCCCAGCACCCACATAGCGGCTACAAACTGTCCTTAACTCCAGTTCTAGGGGAATCCAAAGCTCTCTTTTGACCTCCATGGCATTGCACGACATGGGTGCACTCACATACATGCAGGCAATACACTCATACACATAAAATAAAGATAATAAATAAAATATTTTAAAAAACCCGTATTCTAAAATGGAAATTTATCAAACTGGTATACTAAATGACACAGGTAAAGCTAGTAGAGCCTGTTGCCTTTTGTTGTTGTTTTTGTCTTTCTCTTTTTGAGGCAGGGTCTCCCTATGTAGACCAGGCTGCCTTGATCTTACAGAGATCCACCTCCTTCTGCCTCCAGAGTACATATCAAAGGCGTGCACGACTATGCCTGGCAAGCCTATTGCCTTTTTATAGAAAATATTTTATTACTTCAAATTTTAAATTTAGCATTTTAGGTTTCTCATCAAGTGCTTCTTCATTAAGAAATCACTAAATAGGGCTGGAGATGGTTCAGGGGTTAATAGCTCGTTCTGTTTTTGCAGTGGGCCTGAGTTTGATTCCTAGCACCATATGGTGGCTTACAATCACCTATTAACTCCAGCTCTATGGGGATCTGACGCCCATGGCCTCCTCTGGCACCTGTACTCATGTGCACCCCCCCATACACATATAAAATTAAAAACTAAAGCTTTTTTTTTTGGTCTTTTTGAGACAGGGTCTCCCTGTAGCCCCAGCTGTCCTGGAACTCACTATGTAGACCAGGCTGGCCTTGAACTCACAGAGATCTGCCTGCCTCTGCCTCCTGCGTGCTGGGATTAAAGGCATGCACCACCACACCCGGAAAAAAATTAATCTTAAAAAAGGAAATTACTAAATAAAAACACTAACTGGGCATGGTGGTGCATGTCTTTAATCCCAGCATTCAGGAGGCAGAGGCAGGCAGATCTCTGTGAAATTGAGGCTATCCTGGTCTACATAGTGAGTTCCAAACCAGCCAGGGCTACATAGTGAGACAGCCAGATCTCTGTGAAATTGAGGCTATCCTGGTCTACATAGTGAGTTCCAAACCAGACAGGGCTACATAGTGAGACGCTGTCTCAAAACAACAACATCAACAATAAACTTGCCTGAAGACTTAGATTTTCCCACATACTCATATCAGATGTTGATTATTGAATAATTAAAAACAATTTCTTTTGTTTTTAGCATCCTACCAAAGTGAAATAACTCTCCTCCCTCACACTGGACCAACCCAGGACTTTTCATGCTAGGTGGGCATGCTACCACTGAGCTCCATCCCCAACCCCTAATTTCTACTCATCTTAAAAGAGTGGAGCAGAACACAGATACACACTCATTCTAACTACAGGCACTTCCTATTAACCCAACAGTATAGAATATAGTACTTTTACATTTCTAAAGAAAAACTTTCTTTATTAGGAAAGAACATCAGATGCTTTACTCTGAAATGAAATGACACAAAGCTCAGTGAATATTTTCTTCCAGCAAAATGACAATCGCGGACCTAGGAAAGACACAACAAATGCAGCACAGCATCATAATAACCCAACCACTGAGGACAGGGGATCACAGGATTATCAGGCTTGGTAAATAGAGAGGAGGATATTTATAGAGATCAGGGTTCTGCCTGAAAGGTACCAAGTAAGCTGATTTAAGAGGCTAGATGAAAGAGAACAGAGTAAGTCTACCTGACGATTCTGTGTGGACATGCCATACTTTGTTTTCAATGTCAAAAGAGAGGATATGTTCATTAAAGGTTAAATTTATGGTGGGACTAAGGTTTTTTTGGATATTTTATTATTTTTATTTTATGTGTATGAGTGTTATGCCTGCATGTAAGTTAAGTGCACCCATATCATGAAAACGCCTGCGGAGGACATAAGAGGCTGTTGGATCCCCTGGAACTGGAGTTACGAACAGTTGTTAGCTGCCATGTGGATGCTGGGATTCGAACCTGGTTCTTCTGCAAGAACAGCCAGTGTTCTTAACTGCTGAGCCATCATCTCTCCAGCCCCAAAAGTTAAATTTATGGTGGGACTGGGTTTTACAATACAAATACAACGAAATTAATTTTTACAGTGTAATTTTTTTGCCCCCCAAAAATCGTTCATTCAATTGTCATTAACAACCATAACAGTGAGCAAAACAGACATCAGCTCCATGCAGGACTTATACTCCTAAGACATTAAATACAGGTAGTAAGAAATAAGAACTTGAGTTAACTGTTTGTATGTGCTACCAGCATGAGCATATACAGGTTATCTGCACCTGTGTGGACAGAAGTAGTCTGACTCAGTCACAAAACATTTAAACCAACTCTTCTACAAGCAGATCATGAAGACATGTGCTATGAACTATGGAAATTCATCTGCCTCAGAATCAGCTTAAACTCCACTCCTGGCACAGACCTGGTACACTGGTCCCAAAAGACACAAGTTGGGTCATTCAAAGAAACTAGAGTCATAAAGGGGTGGAAATGTGTTGAAATATGGAATATAACAAAACATTTAAACCAACTCTTCTACAAGCAGATCATGAAGACATGTGCTATGAACTATGGAAATTCATCTGCCTCAGAATCAGCTTAAACTCCACTCCTGGCACAGACCTGGTACACTGGTCCCAAAAGACACAAGTTGGGTCATTCAAAGAAACTAGAGTCATAAAGGGGTGGAAATGTGTTGAAATATGGAATATATATATATATATATATATATATATATCAGTGAAAAAATATTTATTATTTTTGTTTTATATGTATGAGTGTATTGTCTGAATGTGTGTAAGTGCACCTGTGTTGTACAATGCCTGTGGAGGTCAGAAGAAGGTGTCAGATCCCCTGGAACTGGAGCTACAGATAGATGGTTAACCACCATGTGGGTGTTGGGAATCGAACTCAGGTCTTTGCAAGAGCAGTTAACTGCTGAGCTCTCTCTCCAGCCCATATTCTTTTTAATTTTTTTTTTCTGTCTTTTTGAGACAGGGTCTCCCTGTAGCCACAGCTGTCCTGGAACTCACTACGTAGATCAGGCTGGACTTGAACTCACAGAGATCTGCCTGCCTCTGCCTCCCGAGTGCTGGGATTAAAGGCGTGCGCCACCACCCCTGGCGGTCTTTTAAAAATTACATTTATTGAAGCTAGGCTTGGTAGTGTATACCTAATACTTGGGAGGCAGAGGCTGGTAAATTTCTGCCAGACAGATGTGACTCGGTCTACATAGTGAACTCCAGGCCAGTCGGGGCTACAGGGAGATCCTGTTTCAAAAAGCAATAGCAAAACAAAACAAAAATTACATTTATTTACTTATTTTACGTGCATGTGTGTGATTGTGTGCAAGTTCCAAAGTGTGTATGGAGATCAGAGGACAATTTGTGGGAGTCAGTTCCTTGGTCTCACTGTGTGGGTCTGGGGATCTAATAAACAGGTCATCAGGCTTGGCAGTAAGCCCCTTTACCTACTGAGCCATCTTCCTGGCCCTCAAACTTTCTCATTACCTTTGTAATAAATACATAAATACAATGTTTCTTGAGGAACATACAACAGAGAATCTCCTCAGGAGTGGGGTCCCACTTCAGTAGAGGCCTGATGAGCAGAAATCTGGCTTCCGAGTTCACACTATATTTGGCTGCCCTGTATGAGAGACTCTCAGCACTATTTCACATAGAAAATGAGAACAATACTTAAATCCCAAGAAAAACACTATGAGGATTGAATGAAAAAATGTATGTAGAGCAGGATCCACAGGAGCCACTCAAAACAGGT